CATGCCCGCGGAGACAGAAGAGGCTGTTGGATCCCCTGGAACTGGAGTTACGGACAGTTGTTAGCTGCCATGTGGGTGCTGAGATTGGAACCCTAGTCTTCTGCAAGAACAACCAGTATTCTTAACTGCTGAGCCACCTCTACAGACCCTAATTTATATTCTTAATAGGAACCATGTTGTAATTTAACAATTTCAGTTTACAAGAGATTTTACAAGAGAACTTGATATCTAGTAAATTATTAATTAATAATTGTTTTATTAGTGTTAAACATAAATCCATTTATAACAGTCTCATTTAATAAATACTGTGGTTAGACACAATGTCACAACAAACCAGTTTTAAAGCCAAGACCTATTACCTTGATGAATTTTTTGATCAGATGTATATGAAAGAAACTCTTAAGAACCCATTAACTGCTTTTACTATAGACAGTAATACCCTCTGTTGTAATAGTTTACACCTTTAAGACTGTTAACTTGCATGGTGAATTTCTTTGAAGAGGGCTGTCAGTCTGGATTGGAAAAAAAAAAAACCAACTTAACTATGAGCTGGTAGTAGCTTGGGAGGAGAAAAGGCTAAAAGGAGAAAAGGCGCAAGCCCTGCATCTACAAACAGACACAGTGGTGTCCCACGGTGTGTGCCCCTGGAGGGGGGTTGAAAAGTTTATGACCAGCACTGAGCATGCTCGCCCTCAGTGCGAGCCAGCCGCCATCTGGGTGCGCGCTGCATGAAGTCATGTCTCCTAAGGGGAAGCCGCGGGGGTGCAGAGGATTACAGGAAAAAGACTCCACATGGGGTCATCCTCTGATGAGCCCCTTCCCCAAGAAAAAGTTTACGAAAAAAAAAATGGCTTTTTAAAATCTTTTTTCCATTTGTATGGAGCAAGCTGCCTTAAATTCTTTAAGTACTCCGCGGCCACCGGAGGTTTAAATCCTTTGTTTTTTGTTTATGGTCCTCTTGGAGCTGGAGTACCATTTTGTCCCGAGGCTAGTTAATTTAAATTCTCACTTAACTGGTTTAGCTTGGGCTTGAGTGCCCCGGGGCAAGATAACAAAACAGGTTAAGGAAGTTTGTTATTTTAGAAGTTGACTTTAAAGCTTGTATAAAAATCCCTTAGAACTTTGGGGATTTTGTTTTTAGGGGTGTTCAAGATAGAAAAGGAAAGGGGGGTGAAACATTGATTCCTAGGGGAACATGCCTGGGATCAAACCTCAGGTGATTCCACATAGGCCACAACGCAAGCCTGCCCGCAAATTTAATAGATCTGGCAACTGGTCGTTGCTTTACTGGGTTTTTGCATTAGAAAGATGTATAGATGGGGGGGGGTCTTGTCTACACCTGTGCGGGCAGCCGGGTTCATTAAGAGGGCTAAGAGCCTTTGGCTAACATCAGGGAGTAGCCCTGATCAGAAAGCCTCAGTTGCTCCTTCGTCTTTAATGGTCTCATGCGAAGACTCAGACCGAAAATAAAAGGAGGAAAAAGAGGAGAGGCTGCCGATCCTCAAGGGTGGGATGGCTTTAAGGCAAAGCTGCCGCTATCCTTCTGGTGAGAGGGGATACTCACAAACTACACATTCCAGGAGTCCCACATTGGGCACCAGCTGTGGGGTCTCTCCCTCTCCTCGTGGGTTGTTGGCCACCGGTCCACCAGGACAAAGGGAGCCGAAGTGCCAAACGGGGTCAGGATGGCCAGTGAGCACTGATGGAAGAAGGCACTTCTGGGGAGGCAGGTTCAGTGATACAAACAGCTCCAGACTCAGTGAAACAGCCCCGTTTATTCAGTGGGGGTCAGGGAAAATATAGTGTGGAGGCAGTAGCCAATGGTTCAGCTGATAGGTGCTCACAGTATGCTTTATTTACATGTGGCAGTGGGCTCCTATCATCTGACTATAGGGCAATGCCTAATTATCATATAGAAAAAACCTGGGGGTAGTTTTTATTACAGGTAACTATGCCAAAGGTCATGTTAAATGAGGCCAAGCATCCGTGCTTGGCGGCACTTTCCAGGTAAGCTCCTGCTGAGAAAGGAGCCAACCTTAACAGCAGGGTTCCCCAACAGATGGCACTGCCAAGAGTTGATTGGGCCCTCTGTATGAATTAATAATCAAGGAAATGCCCCACAGAAATGTCCACAGGCCAGTCTGATGGAGAAAGTTCCCCATTCGAGGTTTCCTCTTCTCAGATGTCAAGTCTACAAAAATGAACCAGCCCAGTATGTATATGATTCAGTGTACCTAGGTTCCTGAAGTCTAGGCTCCACAAATGAAGGAAAATATGATTAGTACCGGTAACAACTCAATCAACCTTTTATTTTGGAGAGCACTCAGTTTCAGAAGTTTGGTTTGACATAGTGCTCAACTACAGTGCAGCCAATCTAATAACAGAAGAGCAAGAAGAAAATTGTATGGCAGTCTGAACTCTCCTCCCCTGTCCCCTCCCATGTGCATAGTCCTCTCTGAAGTCATGAAAGTGGCCCATGGGGCTCATTGGATGAAGCCAATCTGCATGTTACCCCTGGGTTCTTACAGCTTCCCATGTAGGGAAACTCAGGCACGTTCTCTTCCCCGTCATTCAGTGACCGTTTGCTTGATGTTATTTTGGTGCTAAGGATTGGACATGGGACCCTGGACATGCCAGGCACATGTTCTACCCTGAGATACCCCAGGCTGCACTACTTGCCAGTGGGATTTACTTGGGTTCCCAACTTGCAGCGTCTCTCCTGAGGAGGCCATCTCCCCTGGGCTCCCCAGCCAGCTCCTTGTCAGGATCTTTTGCTCCCTGGCCACTGTCACTCACAGGCTGTCCCCTCCTGTTGCTTCTGCAGAGGAGATGGTACCAGACGGAAGGCGAGTGTTACCTGCTGCAGTTCACGCTGACTGTCCGCTGCCTGTCCTACACCAGCTTCTGCCTGGAGCTCTGCCTGCAGCGGCCCACCGAGCGCGCCTCTTTCTCCTTTCCGTGGATGCTGGCCTATGTCTTCTATTATCCTGTCTTCCACAATGGGCCCATCCTCAACTTCCTGGAGTTCTGCAAACAGGTAGAGCCTGCTGGGGACTGCATTGGTGTTATGTCGGCCTCTCCATCCTAAACTGTGAGCCGTGACTCCATAGGGTGTTGCATAATTGAGTGTGGGGGTCATAGAAACTTTGGGAGTAGTAAAAGGTTTCTGAATGCACAACTCAAAATTAAGTCAAAAGAACGCACCTAATAAATCCTTGTTTCTCTTAGCACTCAACCACACTGCATTGTCTACAAATACATAGTACAAACCTGCAGATGTGCCTTTAGGGCTGTTTCAGAGGGTGACACCCTTTCACTCGTCACTGCCTGAAACACCTCGGCTCAGAGCCCAGACTGTTGTGTGTTATGAATTATAGGGTTTCTGCTCTTATGAAAATGTCGTGGTTTAGTTAAGGAAAATAGAGACTTTTAATATTTTCCTACTATCATTCCTTAGCATATGGTTGTGTGGAACTTGTGTTCGACTGTATTGTGTTAGGATGCTTGATTTAAAATTGCTATTTATTTACTTATTTTATTATTATTAATTATTATTATTGGTCTTTTTGAGTCAGGGTCTCCCTGTAGCTCATTTATTTATGCGTATTCGTGTGTGTCTGAGTGTGGGTTAGTCTGTGTGGGTGCAATGCCAAGGAGTCCAGAAGACAGCCTGCGAGTGCCTGGAGCTGGTGCCACACACCATTGTGAGCCACCTGGATGGATGCTCAGAATCGACTCACAATGTCTGCAAGAGCAGTATGCACTGTTAACTGCTCAGCCATCTCTCCAGCAGCTCTTTTAGGTGTGTGTGTGTGTGTGTGTGTGTGTGAGGAGTCCAGAAGACAGCCTGCGAGTGCCTGGAGCTGGTGCCACACACCATTGTGAGCCACCTGGATGGATGCTCAGAATCGACTCACAATGTCTGCAAGAGCAGTATGCACTGTTAACTGCTCAGCCATCTCTCCAGCAGCTCTTTTAGGTGTGTGTGTGTGTGTGTGTGTGTGTGTGTATGTGTGTACACATGCGTGTGTGTGTGCGTGTGTGTAGGCACACACATGCCACAATGTGCACACACATCCCACAATGTGGGATCTGGGGATAGAACTTGGGCCATCAGGCTTGCGTACAGTTGCCTCTACCCACTGAGCCATCTCTCCAGCCCAGAATGTTTGATTTTAAAGTTGCTGTTTGAGTTACTCTCTTAAATATCCTTAAAAAAAAAATCACCAAGTGCGTTTTGACTGGGATTAAGACAGAATTTCCAACCATTTCTGAAATGACCCTTAAAGATGCTTCTGTAAACCCTTCTTGCCTACGAAAATTTTACTTGA